TCTAGAATGTTGACTCATGAGAACAGGGAACTTATCTTTACTACTTACAGCAGGATCTTGGTACTTGGGAGAAGAAAAGCCTAGATTTTCTGTTAACTGTCACCTCATGCCCTGTAAAAACTCTTCCAAGGCTTCTTCAGAAATAGCAGTATGTTAAAATGGAACTATTTCAGTCATCTTACTTAGATGTTTCACACCTTCATTATTAAGCCAGAAAAAACAGTAGTTAATTTAAAAAGTTCTATATAAAAAGAAGTTTTATTACCTATCCTCCATCTATTGATTCTCAGTAATCCTATAAAGGCCCCAATGGACTAGAGAGCTGAATGTCCTCTGTGGAAGTTAAGTTTCTTTAGTCTCCCTTCTCAATGATCTTAAGGTCCTCCCTGAGAAGCACATCAATCTGTTAAGTCTTAAAGTGAGGACTCAGAGCATACAGTCTCGCTTCCTTTTCTACAGGCAGTGTATACTGGTTACAGTTTCATATTTTACGGTATTTATTCTGTAAATAGAATTCTTTAAGCAAACCATAATGAATTAAGCCTTCAAAAGTACTCTGTAGTGTATTTTTTTACACTATTATGAGCAAAATATTTGAAGGCAAGTTCCTCATTACTATCTCTTAGGTAGTAATCTGAAATGTCCAATTTTTAACCTATTTTATGACATTATTTCTAAATGACTGTGTTACTGTGTCTTGGCAGACTAATATTAAAAGGAACAATACAAAGGTAAGACTTTCACTGTGTGTGTTAAACTAACAAGACCAAATTTAAAATATATATATTATTTTCATCTTATTTTAAAGATAGAGGGAGAGGCATCTTTTATTTGCTTTTCAGACCCCAATGGCCCACAACACCCAGGACTGGGTCAGGCCAAAAGCCAGGATCCCAGAACCTCTCATGGGGAACAGGGACCAAGGAATTTGAGCCATCATCTGCTGGCTCCCAGTGCGCACATCAGCATGAAGCTGTAAAGGAAGTGGGGTAATCCAGGACTCAAATCAGGCACTCTGCCCTGGGTGTGAATGTCCCAAGCATGAATTTAACCACTGTGCCACATGCCTGGCCTTTTACGAAATCTAACAAATATTAATGGTTCTTTTGCTATGTAGAGGGTATATAGGTTGGTAAATTTACAAAATGCCAATCTATATATGGCAGTTAGGATTGCCATCTAAGAACTTTAGTGAGAAAGTCACCCTTATGCAAAATCTTTCCTCTGTTACTATGTTCATTTAGAAAAGGGCTACTCCTAATTTTGTATTTCCTCCAAGTATATGTAAAATATTTACACAAAATCCAGGAAGCTACAAAGCAAATAATTTGCTTATGACTACTGTTTAAAAATATATACTTAAGTATATTATGAATGATAATAAATCTCACTGACCACGAACTTTGATTTTTCCTAAGGTGTCTCAAACAGCATTTCAACAAGCAGGATTTAACAGCCAGATTAAGTGCTAAGAATATTATTTCTAGATTCACTGTCTTGAATGTCTAGGTACAATTTCTCATAGGAGGGCCTGGTGTGGTAGCCTAGTGGTTAAAGTCCTTGCCTTGCATGCACTGGGATCTTCTATGGGCACTGGTTCTATCCTGGTGGCCCCGCTTCCCATCCAGCTCCCTGCTTGTGGCCTGGGAAAGCAGTCGAGGACGGCCCAAAGCTTTGGAACCCTGCATCTATGTGGGAGACCCAGGAAGAGACTCCGGGCTCCTGGCTTTGATAGGCGCAGTACTGGCTGTTGCAGCCATGTGGGGAGTGAATCAACAGATGGAAGATCTTCCTCTCTGTCACTCCTCCTCTCTGTATATCTGATTTTCCAATAAAACAGAAAAAAAAAAAAAACCCCACAATTTCTCATAGGATAAATATGAAGAAATGTAGTCTGTTTAATCTACTATGGTTGAATGAGTACTGACTGTACTTCCATTTTCGCTATTCATCAAGGCAGTGGCTACGTTTGGTCCCTAGAGGCAAGGCAAGTTCTCAAACCTGAAGGACTGTGTGTTACCTTCCAAGACACTTCAGCACCTCCTTGAGCCCCATTAACTATGCCTAATACTTGCCATTGTGGTGGCAGCTACAATCATTTTGTATATACAACCCAAGAATAAAAAAACAAAAAAGCCGGGCCAGCGCAATAGCGTAATGGTTGAGGTTCTCGCCGTGAGCACGCCCGGATCCCATATGGGCGCTGGTTCTAGTCCCTGCAGCTCCACTTTCCATCCAGCTCCCTGCTTGTGGCCTGGGAAGGCAGTCAAGGATGGCCCAAGGCTTTGGAACCCTGCACCCACGTGGGGGACCTGGAGAGGTTCCTGGCTCCTGGCTTTCAATCGGCACAGCACCAGCCGTTGCGGCCATCTGGGGGTCAATCATCGGACGGAGGATCTTCCTCTCTGACCCTCCTCCTCCTCTTTGTACGTCTGCCTTTCCAATAAAATAAACAAATCTTAAAAACAACAAAAAAGCCATATCGGCATCTTTTAAAAATTCCTACAATTCAAGGTTACAATTTTAGTTCTCCTAAGGGAATATTCTGAATTGCATAAAGCCAATTCAACACAAAGCCTGGAAGCAGAATGTTTATCAAACTGATATGAATCACACTCTTTTTCTACTTACAGATTGCCAAAAATCATAATGCAAAACCACAGTAAATTAAACTTGGGAATTTAAAGACAACATCAAATCTTCTGTATTCATACACACACACACACACACACACACACGCTGTTAAAATATTTACTTGTAAGTTACCAGGAAGACAAGTTACTAAATAAACAACTTAGCTTAAAACATTTTCAGTTTTGTTAAAATCTAAAGGAAATGAATCCCATTTATATTAACACTTGCATTTTTTCAATAGTACTAAAATATATCAATATTTTTATAAAGTGGACATTTCTACACATATTTTAAATGTAAATCATTATAATTATATATTTATAATATTATAATCTTAGACACAACGAACATGCTGCTAAAAGAGCACCGTCCCTAAAGCAGATGAGAAGAAATTCAAATCAGTTTGCCACAGCTGATCTAGAAGCAGAGGCACATGTGGCTCTGTAAGATAGGTACCCTGGAATACTAATAAAAGTAGCAGGGGTAAGGGAGTTACAGAGGAGAATTAAACTACAAATACTACTTTGCTTATGTAATGTTGCCCAGCCAGTTATTAAAACATGCAAAAGGAACTAGGCTCTGTGTGAGGCTTATTCCTACACGTTCACATTTTCGGGATGGTTTACACAAAAGTGCTACCTAATTTCAGAACAGGAATCAGTGCTGTGGCACAGCACATTAAACCATACCTGCAGTTTTGGGCACCTCATCTGGTTCTGCTTTAGAAGAAGGTCCAAGTCCTAACCTCACAGAAGTAAAATGGGTTTCTCACTGGACTTAAACTTCATCTTGGTATCATTAGTAAGCATTCCCAAGCTTTGAAAACATTTAGGTTGGCTAGTCCTCCAGGGGTATGTTCAACTCTGAGAAAACAATCTCCAACCAACTTTAAGCCCCCACAGCCTCTCTTGCTAAATGAAACAGTACTACAGCAATGGTTCATCTGTTCCAATCTACGGCCACGGAAAGGATGAAAGACAGAGGGCCTGGAAGACGCCAGGAGTGATGCTTGATGACCACTGGGCTCATTCTCAGGTATAAAGCACCATCACAAGTTTCATGTGCCCTCTGCTCAGGGAAATGGCCAGGCTAGAACCTTGGTATCTCTGCTGAGTGGGGGTGAACCGTGAGGCGGGCTAAACGCAGCCAAAGGAGACAAACACAGGTGCCTGGAGTTAACCTGGAGCCAGCAGCCCCAACTCTTACTTCTTAACCTGATTCAGACTCCGAACTAAGTATCTGCATAGCATTAAACCAGGGCCTGCTCTCCACCCTGTTCAACAGGACACTGCTGCTGGAGCAAAACAATACTGTGACCATGTGTGCATCACTTGACCCTATTAACCATCAGTTTCTTGTCTATAAGGTAGGGATAATGAGGGCTGTCCTGCCTGACTCACAGGGCCACCGAAAGGCTCAAACAAGACTGTGATGCAAAAGTAGCTGTGAAGTCCTAAACCACTAACCTATGCAAAACTCTCCTCCAATTTTCAAATGCTCTCCCAACTCTGAGTTTTACTGTAACAAGAATATTCAGGTGTTGAAAATCTACCATTATTAGGGCTTCAGAAGGACAAGTCTTAAGCTTAGCAGCCAAATTGCTGCTTGGGAGACCTCACGTCCTTTAGCTGAGTGGCAGCCAATCCCAGCTTCCAGTGGTCAATGCACACCCTGGAAGGCAGCTTGGGTCCCGGGCACCAAGTGGGAGACTGGGATTGAGTTTGGTTTCTGGTTTTGCCCCGGCCCAGCTTGGCCACTGCACGGATCTGGCAACTGGACCAGCAAATGGAAGCTTAGCAAAGGCAAGTGCAGGCTGCATCTTTCTGCCTTTCCAACACATGAAAACTAAGACAAATGGTGTGTGGAGAGGTGGGGGGGGGGGGGCGTGGATAAAAGAAAATGTGGAATAGGGTGATGGGTAAGACACGGTGAGCCAGCTAAAGAAATAACAGCAAAATCTTGATGCAAAACCTGGGTAGTTGTGTGTGTGTGTGCACACGCGCTTACTCTTTGAAGACACTGGCCAGCTCCCACGTCCCACGAGTCCCTGGGCAATACCGGGTTACTTTTAAATGGATCACGGGGAACAAGCTGACTATGGAAATTCACAAATCCTGACACTCCACCTCTTTACCCAGTACCCTTTACAAGCACTTCTCAGGCTCTGGCTCAGTTAATCAAAACCGTTCTTGATAAGAAAATGGCTGTTGCAGACTTCTCTGAGAGCGGGTCTGTAACTAAGAGGCACAGGATGCACAACTACTCCTTGCTCCCACAGCCAAGTATCCACGTCTAACGGACAGGTTCGGAGTCAGAAAACACGGGTGGTGGGTGTTCTGTGCCTCTCCCCACCCCCCACCCCCCACCCCCCATAGCTCATCAAGCCTCAACTCTGCCATCTGTGAAAGCAACGACGGCGCTGGTCGGGTCCATCCTCTGGCCACGGCCACCGAGAGGATGAATGACACAGGCCCCGGGAAACGCCAGGCGTGGCGTCTGATGACCACTGGGTCCATCCCCGCGTACACAGCACCCCCAACAAGTCCGGGTAAGGCTTCTCCTCTGGGACATCGCTAGGTTAGAACCCTAACACCTCCGATTACGGAGAGAGAACACCGAAGCGGGCTAGACGCATCCGGCGGAGGAAGCAACTTCGGGGTGCCGGGAAGCGGGCGGGCGCGGCGCCGGGGGGTTCCCCGAGGCTCCTACCTGTTGTTCCGGATGCTGACCAGCACGCACAGCACCAGCTCCAGGTAGGTGCGCAGCACTTCCAGCCAACGTGCCGACACCTGCAGGGCCTCGACTTCTTCCCCTCCGGGGCCGCTGTCCGAGCCACCTCCGTCGCCCGGGCCGCCGCCTCCGCTCAGGTAGTTCTCGGCGGTGAACTCAACACGCAACTCCCGTACGAACCAGCCGCACTTGCGCATGAGGAATTCGAGCCGGGGCTGCTCCGCGGGAGAGACGCGGAGGCAGATGCGAAGCTGGGGCCAGAGGGCCGGGTAAAAGAGGCACTCGCGCCAGTGCGAGCAGGAGGCCGAGGCCCGCAGCCGGTCCGGCGCGGGCAGGAAGGAGAAGATGTGCACGATCAACTCGCTGGGCAGAGACGCGGCGCCCGCCGCCTGCCCGCACAGAGCCATCCGGCCGCGCCGCCGGCCGCCGGCTCCCGGCCGCCCCCGCAGTCCTCGGAGCAGCCCCCGCAGCCGCCGCAGCTGCTGCCGCCGCTGCCGCCGCCACCGCGCCACCCGAGCGGCCCCGGCCCGGCTTCGAGCTCCCGGGGGTCGGGGCTGCGGCACTGACAAGAACAACAACATCAATGACAAGGAAGAGGGGGGCGGAACCGTCGTGGGTCTCGGCGGAACCAAGTGCCGCGCGAGTGCAGGAGGCGGGGGGGGGACGCTGTGCGGGAGCGGCCCGCGAGAGAGGCAGCCTTTGGCCTTCCCTACTCGACGCCCACGCTCCCGGGGCCCGCACCCTCGGCCCCTTCAAGACCCTCGGCGCGAGTCTTCGGAGGCCCGGAAGCGGTGGGGCTTCTCCTGAGGAAATGGCAACCCTCCCCGCACCGGGAGGCGGGGGCAAGGCAGTGGTAGGAGCTGGGCCTGACGTCGCGCTCGGTGGGAGGAGCCCGGCCCCGACGGACGCGACTTCCGGGAAAGGGAAGCGTTCTCTCTGGGTTACTGCTAGGGAAGGAGGCGAGCCACGTGACCTCGGACGCACTAACGCACGCACGCACGCACGCCGGCCAGCCGAGCGTAACGCCCAACGGCACGGGGAGTGGGCGGTGCTTCCTCCGGTCCCCGCCCCCGGCGCCTCCTCCGGTCCCCGCCCCCTACCCCGACCGCCCCCTCGCGGAGCTCGCTGCGCTCCTTCAGGTGTGCGAGTTACTCCCGTGCTGCGTGGGTGAAAAGTGGCCGAATTCGGCTTCGGTTCGAGAAATTCATAGAACTTGTCTGTAAATGTTGCTCGGTGGTGGGCTCAGCTCAAGTGCCCGCATGCAGGGCTCTTCCTCAGCCGTCCCGCCCGCCTAGAGGACTAAGTATTAGGCGCCCCTTACGGTGTGGGGAGCGGGCCGACTCGCGGGCTAAACGGGACTGGTGTGTCAGGCGACAGAGACAGTTCAGAGGCCACCACGAGCTACCTCAGAGGCCACCCTGCGTCCCGCGGGCACCGTGCAGGGTGACCCGTGCACACGCTGGCGTGTGGAGCAGGAGTGAGCGTGGGGCCGAGACGGAGAGCAGGAGGGCGGCCCGCGAGGCTCCCCCGCCCGTCGGCCGACTGAACCGGGGGGAGCAGGTTCGCCCCCATGCCACCTCCCAGTTGACAGGGGGAGTTTGGGAACCGTGTCCCTTCACTCTACCACCAACTGACTTGACGTAACAGTTGAAGGAGGCTGCCGCTTAACCGTGACCCTAGGGCAGCCCTCGTCCCTGTGGTCAACACCCAGAAGCGGGTCTAGATGCTTTCAGCATTTCAGTTCGTGCTTTCTTGGTACCTTCAGGTGCCTCGCATGTATGAGGTTAGTAACAATATCCTGCTGTTACCTCGGGAGGTTAGTAGCTATCTTGTTGTTACCCCTGAATTCGCTTCACCTCAGCACCTTAAAAAAAAAAAACTATCATTGATAGCAGGCCACTTGTATCTTATTCATACTTAGTGACTTAGTGCTAACAGCTGTGCATTAGGAAGTTGAAACTTGGGTTTTAATTTTTTGAGCTCATTAAATTGTTTGGAATTGAGCCATGCCTTTCTGCATCTTGCACTCTGAGGTACTTAAGCATACATCTCTATAAAAGCATATTGCTATGTAACAAAAATAACATTGCATCCACCAAACAATAGCTTCTTCTGGGTTTCCCACGCAGGTGCAGAGTCCCAAGGCTTGGGGCCGTCCTGCTTTCCCAGGCCACAAGCAGGGAGCTGGATGGGGAGTAGCCAGGACACGAAGTGGCGCCCATAGTCACTAGTGAAAGCAATTAAAAGCACAATGATCATCCGCTATAATTTTAAATTTCAGCTGCATTTATTAGTTTGAATTGTCCATAGAGAAGTTAGTTTCCTTTCGTTTGCCAGGAACATTTATGTACCCTGAGGTATAGACACTTCCATTAAAAGCAGTTCTTTTTCTTTTGTTACTGAGTTTGAAAGTAATTTATGTGGTCTTGGAGGATGACAAATTTTTCTAGTTTTTTAGCTTTTGTAACAGCATGAATTCATACATGTTTTATAGATTTTGAGCATTCTGATTCTCAAATTCTGATGCTTTTGGAACACTTCTTAAATAATTCTGTGTAATTATCATAGCTTTCTGAAATTTCTTCAGAAGTTTGAGAAGTTAACACTTGAGTTGGAAGGAAAGTGAGGCAGGAATTTGATTTTTAGTTCTTTGGCGTTGCCGTGATTCAGCTATGTGCTCTTTAAGCAAACTGCTTAATTTCTTTGGTCTTATGTTTACAAACACTTGGCAAGGACATCTGTGGCTCTGATGTTCTCTTGCTTTAAAAAAACAAACTACTGAGCTACTTTGTGTAAAACCCATTTGAAACATACAATGCATTGCTTTTTAGTAACTATCTAGTGGTACACTCATATTGTAAACCGGGTTTAGATGTTTTCATTCTTTCATTACATTCTCCTTGCCCGTTTACAGCCAATTCCCACTCGCAACTCCAGCTCAGCAACTATTAAGGCACTTTCTGTTCCCATAAGTTTACTTTTTGTGGACGTATCATACACAGAAAAACATGTAATGCGCAATCTCTTGTGTCTGGTTTCTTTCTTTTAGTGTAATTTTTTGAAAAAGGAATTATTTGAGAGACACAGAGCTGCAATCTGCTGTTTTACTTCCCAAATTCCCACAATGGCTCTAGGCCAGGATCTCAAGCTGGAAGCTGGGATATGTCAGTTCTGATCTCACCTGTGAGTGGCGGGCAGTCAACTGCTGGGGGCCTCCCCTCTTCGTCTGCACTAGCAGGAAGCTGACATCAATAGCTGGAGTCAGGCATCAAACTCACACACATGAGATGCCAGCATCTTAACCCCAGGCTAACTGCCCTTAGCATGTTTCATTTTTCTTATTGCACAGTATTCCATCAAATGTATTTTTGTTTGATTTGTACCCCTTCATCAGTTAGCAGATGTGTAGGTTGCTTTCAGTTTGGTGCTGCAAGCATTCATGTGCAGGTCTCTGTGTGATCACATGCTTTATTTCTGGTGGGTAGGAAATGAGGCATGCAAGTGACAGATTGGACAGCACTTCTATGTATGACTTTTGGAGAAGTCACCAAGCAGTTTTGCAAAGGGGTTGTACTGTTTCCACCATGACTAAATGAGTTTTTCCAGTTCCCTTTTTGATGATCTAGAAAAGCACTCTGACGTGAAACTGATATTTTTATGAGAAATGAGCTACCTTCTCCTTAGCATTGATTCATTTTTAGGATTTGTTTTCACTTATTTTAAAGGTAGATTTTACAGGGAGAGGGGGACACACACACACACACACACACACACACACAGGGAGAGAGAGAGAGAGACAGAGAGAGACAGAGAGGTTTTCCGTTTGCTGGGTCCCCAAATAGTCCTTAACAGTGAGGGCTGAACCAGGCAGAATCCAGGAGCCAGTAGCTTCTTCTGGGTCTCCCACATAGATGCAAGAAACCATGCTTGGCCATCTTTTTCTGACTTCTCGGGCACATTAGTGGAGAGCTTGGTTGGAAGTGGAACAGCTGGAGCTGAAACTGGCGGTCATGTGAGATGCTGGCATTGCAGGTGTCAGCGTAACTTGCTGCATCACAACACCAGTGCCAAGAATGATTCTTGAAGAACTGGTCTTAAAATATATCCATTTGCCTTCAAATAAAATTCTAATTTTAGTGTTATTAATAAAATTCAATACATTTTAGCACTTTGTGTAATTGAATTTTCAATTTCCATGTGGTATATTGCTATTAATAACTGCAAACTGAATTAAAAAATATATATTGTCTTCCTCAGTTACAATAGTAAATCAGTAAATGCCATTGATACAAAAATCTTCCTATTTTATCAAATTATCTTTGATATCAATTATTTGTTTCTTAAACATACATATTTATCGTGTTAGGTGTGGTAGGTTATATTATGTATTGTACATTTAGAGTAACAAAATATAAAGGGCAAATGGAAATTACATTTTGTGAAGTTATAAAATCTGAGCTATGATTCACAGTGTGGGAGGAAGTACTGCCGTTGTGAGCTCATTAGAACCTAGTAGTACTAAGCTCCAGGTTCCAAAAGTGGCATATTGTTACTATAGCAACAACCATGCTTATTTGGATTTGAAACCCAGGCAACGAGTGATGGAAAGAACTGTAACATTAAGATGGATATGTACTCTGATGGGTTGATGTGCTTGCCTGCTGATAGTTAATAATTTGTTCTTTAAAAAAATCATTTTTATTATGATTGATTCTTTAATAGCGCTGTGCTAATTTTTGTCAGTGTATTTCCTTCTGGGAGAGAAATTAAATAGTATTCTAGTGTTTCTGCCTTTCTAACTCATGGAATTTGGTGTTTTATCCAGTTAGATAATTAGGATGCTAAATATATCTTTCCTATACATTCTCTGTGTTATTTCTTAATTTTGGTAATTTTGTGACTTTTGTTATTCTGAATAACTTGCAGTTTCATAATAGAAAAGAAAAAACACCATATAGACTTATATTTTAACTTCATCATAAACAGCTATTTAAGGATGCCAGTAAACAAGAAGATTGCTTAAATGCAAACATTTTTTGAAAAAGCATTGCTTTCTCTGAGCAAGAAATGGGTTTCACATAATTTTGGCAGGTAAAGCTGATGTAGCTCTTAATTCTTTTTTCTGTATGCAGCTATACATTTATCTAGATATACAGGACCTTGCAGTGGAATTGCTGTGGGAACCGGATCTTTTCTCTCCACCCTGTCTGATGGATGGGAGGGACTGCAAGTGGGGTCAGATAGTGAGGGGTTTGAAGGGACTGTGTCCTTAGGGAGTCCAGGGACTACACTGGTTACTGGACAAAGGAACAAGTCATTGGTTCTTCAGCTTTTTTTTTTAGTTTCTACTTTTTTTTTTTTTGAAAAGCACATTTACAGAGAAAAGAAGAGAGAGATAGAGCTATCTGCTGATACACTCCCTAAATGGCCATAATGGCGGAGCTGAGCTGTAGTAAAACCTGGAGCCAGGAGCTTCTGAGTCTCCCATGGGAGTGCAGGAACCCAAGGACTTGAGCCATCCCCAACTCCTTTTCTGTTTTCCTAGTGCATAAGCAGGGAGCTGGATCAGAAGCGGAGGAGCCAGAACATGAATTGGCACTGCTGGTGGAGGAATAACCTTTTGAGCCACTGTGCTGGCTTCAGAACCTAGTTTGGTGTTTAGGTACCTCTGGTGCTGATTCCAGAACTAACAAGTCGCTCACAAATTATGTGAGATTGAAAATTGGAAGTGCTATATCAATTCACTTTATCTTTCCTTACCCACCTTCATGGAAGAAGTATACTTTCCCTCTTGGTGATTGATGCTATATGTGATCTTGTGTGTGTTTGTGTGTTTTGATTAAAAAAAAACACATAAATGGCAGTGTATCAGTGTATCAGTTTTGAGCCTGAGCCCTAACAAGCATCAAATATTTCTACAAACCTC